CTTTTTTGACGAATGATTGACGAGTAGCATTATGCCGAATAAATCCATTTCGACTAGTGCTAGAAATATATCAGATTATATGTATGCATGTTGTGTATCCTCAAATATATGGATTTTATTAACTAAGACTTTTTATTTAATAGATAATCAATGGAGCTAACCAAAAAATATATATATGGCAGATGGATAGGTCGACTTGCTTTCCTACATTAAGTAAATAAAAAATCTCAGAATGAAATTAATAGAATTATTACATCATTTATTGAAGAGTCAAAGACTTGATGTCTGGCATCATCATAATCTTCCAGTTCGGAAAAAAGATAAGATAAAATTATTAGCAGAGCTGGCATGGCCAAAAGCACTTAATGTATCAATGGTTTAGTTATGTGTGAGTACATGAGTAATGGGTGTATGTAGCTAACATTGAATCTATTTCTGCAATCTGAGACCCAAAAGGATTATAGTTATTATTCTTAGGCTGAGATGTCGAAGCTTGAGCTTTGAGATCAGAAAGTTTTAACTCTAAAGAATCATTAGACTCGGATTCAGAATCAGAAGTATCACCCTCAGCATAATTTTTTCCTGCATCAAAACAGTTTATCTTATTATGTCTTAATGCAATTCTGGTAAGAAAATCAAGATGTTATGAAGTTGGATTTTGCCCACCATGAACTCTAGAAGTGTGTTTACCTCCAATTTTTCTTAATCTTTTGGCCATAATATCATAAGGTCTTAGAAAATTATTAAATGATTTATACTACGTTTCCCATTAACACTATAAACAGAATCACGCAACTTTCCAATTGTTATCACATTTTGAATCCAGGTAAGCAATTCTCTCACATGTTCTGGGCTCTTTTCCATAGAGAGAAATTGCCGAGGTTCAGGCTCAGGCTTAGGTTTGGGAGTATCATTTTCTTTATTCTTCAGTTTTTTTCTCAGTTTATTTTTAATATACCCAGTATAATACCAAGAATAGCCAGACTTATATCATATTGGAGGGTTTGATTCATTAGGTTCATAATGGATAATTCGGAGAGTAGTCACTTCAGCAGGTCTCATGCTCAACATCATGATAACATCTGCGAGATCTTGCATAGTAGAAATTTTAGTAGTATCGATATTTTGAATTCTTCTAAGTCCCTTCTCTAAGGAAAAGTATTTGGGGGTTTTAGGTGGATTGGATAATCGTTGTTCGAGTTTTTTCTTCTGGATTTTGTTAGAAGCTTCAGTAACATCTGGTAATTTGGCATATGTATCAATTTCTTTGGGATCAACTCCAGCTTTTGCTAACTCTTTATGAAATTGTGAAAGACGGGAACTGGACACCACAATCTCCTCATCAGTATTATTTTTTGTCTCAGCTAAATCTAAAGCATGCAAGTAAATATCCCAGACATCTTCAGTTTTTGCACAATATTGAGCTCTTTCCTTGATAGTAAGCTTTTCCCCCCTTTTGTCTGGCACAAGAGCTTCTATTTGATTCCCTTTGAATAGGCGTCAATGAAGAGTCTCTTTTACATCTTTACGAGCTTTCCAATCTGGTAGCATAGTACCAAGCTCATTGGCATAAGCACGTAATTGGGATGAGTCAGATTCTGCAGATAGGTTATATTTTTTCATGATCTGATTCAAAATAGAGGTAAAGCTATTCGTTTTGGGGTTTCAGGTTTTTTGGACAGTTGCCATGATAGGTATGTAAATAATATATATCGATAAGTAGATTGTGATTATACATTATTCTACTTATTCTTTCAAATTGAAATTAATTATGTTTTTTCTGAGCATGGGAGGAAAAAATTGGCTGAATTGGATTTGTCGATTTAAATTTTACTAATACATAGATTATTACGAAAAAATTTATATTAGCTAGTTTGTAGGAGCAAAAAATCCCTCTATATCAAAGCTCCTACCTGCAAAAATCACCTTATTCACCTCTTTTTATCGGAATTGGATATATTTATATAACTTACCATAGATATCCATTTTCTTCGAGTTTCATTATACTTTTTTCCCATTCTTCACCATCATAAATACATGTATATGATCGGAATTCATCATCATCTTCATACGTCCAAAGCTTAATCTCCATATATTTCAATTTTTTTCGCCTGGGCAATTCCATATATTCCTCTGGATCATCCCCATCTTTTCACACAAAATCGATTATATCTGTGTCTACTATCATTTTTTCTCGGAATATCTTCACTAAGTCTCTATCCTCTTCAGTTATGGTCATGAACTTATCTGTGTCTTCGCCATGATCAATGGCCCATTGCTTGAGACGTTTTTTCCGCTCTTCTCGGGGTATATATCCAGGTAGATATGTTTTCGATTGGGTGCTGGCTTCTTCGTTATTGGTCTCGGGCTCATCATTTACTGATTCAATGATCTTGGGAGAAGGTTCTGATTTATTGTCCATAAGTTCTACATATTCGATCTCGGGAGGCAGAGATATATCAGTAGACTTGGATGACGAAGTAACTGAACTTTCCGGTTGATCTATTATTGAATCGAAAAAAGCCTGGGTCATTTTAGTAACTGGTGGAATAGGAGTGGGTGATATATGATGTGGAACATCGAAGCTTTGCTTCCTCTTGCCTTTTTCGATGTGATCTGTGTTTGATATCTCGGTTATATTTTTTTCTGGTTTGGATTCGTTGGTAGATATTTCGACTTCAGATATGTCAGAAAATTCCTCAATATCACCTATCGATTCACGTAATTTAGCCACAATTTTGGATCGATCAAGAATATAGACCTATTCTCTTTTTCCATTAATTCGTGCCTGCTTTTTCTCAATCCCTATCGGTGGGAGAAAACCTCCAAATTTATTATTACATATTCGATCTTCACCTTCGCTTCCACACCAAGTAAGATATTCTTGATATAAATTTCCAGAGATTGTTTTTTCGATTTGATTTTTGAGCCATGATTTAATATGTTGTATTATAAAGTGGATAGAATTTGGAAGTTGTTTTATCACCGTTTCTGTTTTCATTTTGGTAGCGGGGATCTTCCATAGTTTCCATTTCAATAGATCACGACTAAGAAGATATGTCATCACAACTCCTGGTGCATCAGGATGTTCTAAAATTTCTCCTAATCAATCAAAATATTCTATGTTTCCTCTGCAACATGCCGATACATCGAAACACACTATACGTGAATCACCTGCTTCTATTTTAAGTGGGGTGTTCTGATTACTTGTAACCATGAAACCACTAAAATCATTTAATCTTAAAGTTTCGAGATCTTTGCACTCTATACTTATCTTCCCCTCTGTTATAAGGGATTTAAGATAACCATTAAACCTATGCCACTCTCCACTAGACATACTGGTTTCATTCATGACTATAAGCTTTTTACCTTGAATAACACTGTTAAATTTCCCAAGAATTTTTCCCAAATCAGATGTTGCGTAATGGAGATTTGGCCCTAATACCTTATCACCAATAAAATCAATAATAATATTTTTTCAACACTGTTGTAAAGTTGATTTTAATACAAGAATTGATCTTGGTTTTTTTTCCGGTTTTTGTACTAAATATGCCCACCAGTTCCAGATATAATTATTAAGTTTCTTATTTCCATTACAGATTATATTTTTTACATGCCAAAGGATAGGATTTATAATTTCTGGATTAATATCTTTTACTGGTTTAGCTAGAAATCCCAGGAAAAGATTAAAAAAATTTGTTTTCGGTGGGATTACATTTGGAGAATATGAGAGAAAATCAATTTCGTCATAATGTATTAAATTTTCGACAACTGCTCTATCTATCAAGGAATGTAATTTTACTGCTTCTTCACCATGCTCAATTATATTAATTGTATGCTTTGCAAGTTCTAATTCATGCCCAATATCAAAATAAAGACCGTCTGAATTTTTAAGTTTAACTATCCAGGTTAATTTTCTTTGCTCAATATATACTATTGTTGCCTGAATTGCACTATATACCTCATTACATATAAATTTTTTCTTAGACATACATATACGAAGTAAGTCTTCCCATATGAAATTGTCATTTGGATCTGAAATTCTTGACTGATCTAATTTCTCTGGGATTGGAAGATTGTTTTCCTAATCCAAGATTGTTTCATCAATAGTGAGCTTTAACGAAGGGTTTCTTGTACCAGGCTTCTTATTTTGATTTGCACGGTGGCAATAAAAACTGTATGATTTTTTATTTCGGATAACATATGCATTTTCATTATCATGTGGATCTTTATTACCATATTCTTGTTCACATAATGGACAATGTGATGAAGTTATATGTTTGAGAGGGAATGTATCGGGAAATTTATCTGTTGGGGATAATAATTCATATCCTTCAATATTAGCATCTTTGAGTAATGTTTCCAGCAATTCAAGTTCGACTTCAGTAATATCAGTAGCTTTATTCTGGGAGTTATATATTCTGGTAGACATCGGTTCTGGAACAACTAAAAGAGAACTGTCTACCTCAGGCGATTCATCATTAGGAGGACGAAGCATAAAGTCAAAAACAGTGTTATCTTTTGAAAATAATGCTTTTTTTATTCGCACATGTTGGTTAGTTTTTTCGATAAATTTTGGTGTTCCAAGCATTCGCAAGGAAAATGGGTTTTTGTTAGCAATATTATCAACAATATCTCTTTCTTATAAAGCTGTGGGAAGTTTTTTGCGAACGAGTTCTGTAAATATTGCGACTTTAGCTATATTTTTGAGTCGGAGGCCGAAAGTTGATATGTGGTAAGATATTTTTTTCTTGTCACTACTACTGGCAATAGTTAATGTTTTACGATCCCAATCTGATATATTTCTAGCACTAGTCGAAATGGATTTATTCGGCATAATGCTACTCGTCAATCATTCGTCAAAAAAG